ATTCCCTCCAGCTCTGGTCTCCCTTGATGGATTCCCTGTCCCCTGATGGGTACTCACCCTGTAGGTCGTCAGTTGTTGTTGCAGTCCGTCAGTTGTTGTTGCAGTCCGAGTTCAGTTGGGGTGGTTGCGGGCTGGGTTGGGCGGCCCCCCGCCGGGTCGTTGCGATCCCGGCAGGTCCCTTTGTGGCGCTGCTGGTGCCGGGCGGCTTTGGCGGGATGGAGCCTCTCCGCTCCGGTGGAGAGTGATGGGTGGGGTGGGATCCTCCTGGAGACTCCGGGCTGGTAGGTTTCTCTGTTCCTGGCGATCCGCTGTTCTCCTTTCTTTCTTTCTTTCTTTCTTTCTTTCTTCCTTTCTTCCTTTTTCCTTCCTTCCTTCCTTCCTTCCTTCCTTCCTTCCTTCCTTCCTTCTCTCTCTTTCTTATTTTCCTTCTTTCTTCCTTTCTTTTTCCAGTCAGTTGTAAGACTTGAATTCAGGGCCTGGGTTTTGTCCCTGAGCTCTTAGGCTCAAGACTAGCACTCTACCACTTTGAGCAACAGCTCTACTTCTGGTTTTTTAGGGGCTAATTGGAGATAAGAGTCTCATGAGTACTTTTCTGCCTGGGCTGGCTTTGAACTGCAATCCTCAGATGTCAGCCTCCTGATTAGCTAGGATTACAGGTGTGAGCCACCAGCGCCCAGCTTGACTTTCTTAAGTGTTTTGTTTCACTTTCTCATTTGGGAAAAATATTGTTTTTAAAATTTCTGATATCTATACACAATGTTTTTATTTTGCCTCTTAGACTTTATTTTGGTTTGTTTTTGTTGTTGTTGTTAGTTGTGGGGCTTGAACTCTGGGTTTGGGCGCGGTCCCTCATCTCTTCAGCTTAAGGCTAGCACTCTATCACTTGAGCCACAGTGCCACTCCGGTTTTCTGAGTTGTTTATTGGAGATAAGAGTCTCACGGACTTTCCTGCCTGAGCTGGCTTTGAACTGCAATCCTCAGATCTCAGTCTCCTGATTAGCTAGGATTACAGGTGTGTACTGGTACCTGGCTTTACACATTTTATAAACATGGCAGTAAAAGCAAAATATCATAATAAATTATGATTTTTTTTGTGGTGGTATGGGGTTTGAACTCAGGGCCTCTCACTTGCTAGGCTGCTGTTCTACCACTTGAGGTACCCCTCAAGCCTTGCCTTTTACTGGTTATTTTAGAGCTGGAATCTAGCCAACTTTTCTGCTTGGGCTGGACTTGAGCCACATTCTTCCATATCTGTGTTCTGAGTAGCTAGGGTTATTAGGTGTGAGTCACTGGGGCCAACTTTTATGCTTATATTGATAGTTCAAAGATTTTTATTGGCTTACATCAGTTATATGGAAGAGGGGGAGATTTCATTGCTACATGTCTATATATGTTAAAGTTGTATTCCAGTCAATTTCACCTACTCTTATACCCTGCACCCTTCATTTTAAGAAATAATGTCTCCAATAGGTTTCCTCATTTTTCGTTCCTTCTTTTTTTTTTTTTTTTTCTTTTTGTTGGTTGTGGGGCTTGAACTCGGGGTGTGGGCACTGTCCTTGAGCTTTTTTGGTCAAGGATAGCCCTCTACCACTTTGAGCCACAGTGCCACTTCTGGTTTTCTCAGGGTTAATTGGAGATAAGAGTCTTTCTTTCAGACTTTCCTGCCTAGTTGGCTTTGAACTGGGATGCTCACTCAGATCTCAGTCTCCTGAATAGCCAGGCTTACAGTGCCCAACTCATTCTGTTTTCATAGTTGGAAATAGTCTTATTTTGATAGAATTGTCTTCTTTATTGTCACAACCCCCTTCTGCAAGGCCTCACCCTCCATAAAGTCTATTTTTCTTTTCTTCTCTCCTACTATTGATCATCAGTTTTTGTTGAGTCTGTGTTTTCATATATACAACACCTTAAATACATTAGTATCAATCCTTAATCTTCATTCAAAATGTTGTTTTTCCATACAGTATAGAGGGAAAAACAAATAATAAGGACTATTAAGTCACACGCAAGCCAGTGATCAAGGGAGCTGAGAATAATCTGACTGCACATCTCTCCTTTCTGACTCTCCAGTTCCTTTAGCCATTGCTGTGATTTGGATATGAAATGAGACACCAAAAAGGCTCATATGTTGAAAGCTTGGTCCTCTGCTGGCAGATTTGCTGTCTGAGAGGTAGTATGCGGGCTCTGACCTAACCGATGGATTCACTGACTCAAAATTGGATGGCATTATTGGGAGGTCATGGAAACTTTTGGAGGTAGAGCCCCAATAAGAGGAAATTGGACACTGGCAGTGGGGCTGGTGGTGGTGGTGGTGGGGAGTTTGTTGGTAGCTATTATTTTTCCTGACCACTTTGTTCTCTTTGATTCTTGTACGCTATGAAGTGAGTAGCCTTGCTCCACCACATGATCTCTGCTATGATGTTTGACCTCATCACAGTACAATAGAATCAAGTGCCCATGGCCTGAAACCTTCAAAACCATGAGCCAAAATAAATCTATGTTCCTAAATTTTGTTTATTGTATTATTGCAGCAATGGAAAACTAACAGTGCCATCCTACACTTGTCAAAATACAATCTGATGAAGACAAAAATATCAGGGCATGGTGATGCCTACTTATAGTCTGCTTCAAAGCAGAGAAAACACTTTTCTTCATTGGTTATAAGGTGTGAATGGCGACTGAGTTTTTCCCTTGGTTGATCTTGTGAATGATCTCACTCATATGTTTCCATGTATCCTGGACCTAATTAAACCAGTGTTTAAAACTAAAACTGAGAGGGTGGGTAGAAAAAAGGAAAAAAAAAAAAAAAAAGGGAGGATTCAAAGAGAGATATGAAGATACTAGGAATAAGAAAAACTGGTCTTTTGGCATTCTTTCAGTTGTTTTATTTTTGCCTTGGGCAGAAGTCTGGTGTTTTCTAGCAGTTGTGCAAGGCTGTTAAAATGAACCAAATGATAAGAGAACAAATGACAAAAGAACCTTCACTCTCTAGAACCTTCTACCCTCTACTAGATGAATGAAACTAAAAAGCAGTGGTGCCTAGTTCCTTTGGCTTTACATATTTTTTTTTTTGGGTCCGGTCATGGGGCCTGAACTCTGGGCCTGGGCGCTGTCCCTCAGCTCTTCAGCTCAAGGCTAGCACTCTACCACTTGAGCCACAGTGCCACTTCCAGCTTTTTTCTTTTTGCTTATGTGGTGCTGAGGAATCGAACCCAGGGCCTCATGCATGCACTGAGCCACCTTCCCAGCCCTACATATTTTTATATTACTAGTTCCCATAAAAAGCAAGTGTGAGATAGTTATCTTAACAGTCCACTGTCTTTGATGCTTCAGGATTAGTGGAAAGGAAGACTGGAGTAAATGGTGGTTACCAGACATGGGAACTGCAAAGTGTTCCAGCTCTACTGGAGTTTTCAGGGAGGATCTGCTAGCTTTATCCTCATGGATAAAGCTTCCATCTGGGGAGGCCTTTCCTGAAGCTTTGGCGCTACAGGTGGTTACCTGAGATACTCCCACAACCTGACTTGGCCATGTTAGTTAGGGTCAGTCAGCTTTGGTAGTGGAGCACTCTAGCTGCTCTTTTGGCCATGGGAGAATGACTTGATAGGGTACTACATGGCTAACCCTACGTTACTGGGCTGAATTGTTAGAAACTGTTAATATTTGACCACTGTGACTTTTTATTTTTTTAAATTTTATTTTATTGTAAAGATGCTGTATAGAGGGGTTACAGTTACACTGTGACTTTAAAAAAAAAGGCCCTTTTAGCCGGGCGCTGGTGGCTCATGCCTGTAATCCTAGCTACTCAGGAGGCTGAGATCTGAGGATCGCGGTTCAAAGCCAGCCCGGGCAGGAGAGACCTTGAGACTCCTATCTCCAATAAACCACCAGAAAACCGGAAGTGGCGCTGTAGCTCAAGTGGAAGAGCGCTCGCCTGGAGCTGAAGAGCTGAGGGACAGTGTCCAGGCCCAGAGTTCAGGCCCAAGACCGACAAAAAAATAAAAATAAAAAAAAGGCCCTTTTATATAATTTTGGTTTAAACTTTCAAAAAGGGTGAAGAAGATACAGAAGCCCAAATGATGTATTGCCTGCATTAGGAAACAATTTTTTTCCAGAACATTAACCTCTCTATTTTTTGTCTTATCCAAGGTTCTTTTATGGGTTGACTTTTGTCTCCCTAAAAGGAATGTTCTAATTTCTAGTACATCATAATGGATCTTAGTTGGAAACAAAGCAACAAAGTTAAAATGAGGTGCTCAGAAGAGATCTACTATGACTGGTGCCTTCATGAAAAGAGGACAGATGTGTATAAAAAGATGATATGGAGACATAGAGGACTGGGCTGTATCTATAAGCCCAGACATTGCCTGAAGCTTCCTTTGGGCATGCTAGCAGAGAATCAGTTCTTACCCTACCATTTTCAGAAGGTGCCAAGTCTTGTTAATCCCTTAATTTTGGATGTCTGTCCTCCAGAATGGTTAAGATGGTACGTTTTTGTTGGTTTAAGCCACTCAGTTTTTAGTACCTTGTTACAGCCTTAGGAAACTAATAGTCTCTCTTAAGTAGGGCAAACTATACTGTTGGCAAGAAACAAAAGCAAAGCCTTGTTAAAAATGGTACAATGGGGCTGGGAAGGTGGCTCAGTGGTAGAGTGCTTGCCTCGCATGCATGAGGCCCTGGGTTTGATTCCTCAGCACCACATAAGAAGAAAAAGCCAGAAGTGGCCCTGTAGCTCAAGTGGTAGAGTGCTAGCCTTGAGCTGAAGAGCTGAGGGACAGCACCCAGGCCCAGAGTTCAGGCTCACAACCGATCAAAAAAAAGAAAAAAAAAAGGTACAGTGGTTTAATGCCTAGGACCCTAGATCATAGATTTGTGGTATCTTTTCCATTGGGACTTTTTCTCTTTCCTACTCTGGCCCAATAGATTTGTTTGCTCAGCTATAACAAAGGTAGCTTTGTAAGTCACAATTTGTGCACATAAGAACACATAAACACTCCTCATACAATTCAACATATTTATTCCTACATTGGTTTCCAAGTCTTCCGTAGGCAGCTGTTAATTTCTACCCCACTTGAAGGAATCTGTTCAAATGATAGAAAAACCATCATTTTATCCTAGAGAGATACAAAGATCTGCTGATACTCTCCTGGAAGTGCTTCTTGTTAAAAAGTTTAAAAGGTGGAAGAGTCTGGATTTATTATCAGAATTATGTTCCGAAGGATCAGTGTTAACAGGCTCCACTGGGGGATGCTGTAGTGCGTGAGCAGAGCAGGGGCGGGGACAGCTGCTGCTTCTAGAGGAGGAAGAGCCTCATGCAGAACCGTGTGCAATTCTCTGACAGCTCTTTTATGTTAAACGTTTTTTAGGATCCAGCTTTATAAATAAGCCTAAATGAACAAAAGAACAGATTATAAATTAGCTGACTTCAATCTAATGAGATTAAACTCACGAGAACGATATATACAAAGGGAGGCATGCAGATTCATATAGGTACCTTCAGTCTGTCTGGCTATTCTCATTTTTCAGTCAAATCAAGAATCAACTTTTGACTGTTACAATATTATCTTCCCCTAGCAAAACAGTCCTTTACTACTTGGCCATTTCATGGTTCATTACCACTTCCATTAAGAGACAGTCAGGGGAATGGAAAGAAGTAAATTTGCATTTGAGCCAGCCATCTGGTACCTTTAGGATATGGAAAGGTTTAGTAAAACAAGAGTTATAAGCTATAGCCTAGGATGGAGTTATAATTTGATTATAGATTCAAGCTATTCATGATCTCTCTCTGCTCCTTTTATCCATCATTCCTGCAAATAGCTGATATGTAGGGAAAATAAATTTCTAACACAAGATATGAAATTCATTAGCCATAAAGGGAAAAATCTAATGAATGCAACTACACTTACATTAAAAGTTTGTGAGTACAAAAGGATACCTTAGAGCAAATTAAAAACAAAAGAACTCATATACTGGAAGGAGAAATGCACAGCTTACAATCCAACAAAAGTTTAATATAATAATATAAGGAGCTCTTATAAATTGGTAATTTTTATTTTATTTATTTTTGTCATTTATGGGGCTTGAACTCAGGGCTTGGGTGCTGTCCCTGAGCTCTTTTGCTCAAGGCTAAGGCTAGCACTCTACCACTGAACCATGCCGCTTCTGGTTTTCTGGTGATTAACTGGATATAAGGGTCTCACAGACTTTCCTGCCTGGTCTGGCTTTGAAACTTAATCCTCAGATCTCAGCCTCCTGAGTCGCTAAGATGACAGATGTGAGCCACTGGCACCTGGCTGGATAAAAATTTTTAAAAAGAAAAAGAAGTGAACAGGGGCTGGGAAGGTGGCTCAGTGGTTGAGTGGTTGCCTTGCATGCATGAGGCCCTGGGTTCGATTCCTCAGTACCACATAAGCAGAAAAAGCTGGAAGTGGCTCAAGTGGTAGAGTGCTAGCCTTGAGCTGAAGGACAGCGCCCAGGCCAAAAGTTCAAGCCCCACGAATGACAAAAAAAAAAAAAGAAAGAAAGAAAGAAAAAGAAGCAAGCAGGGAAGGGATGGGAAGGGGAAACAAAGGAGGAGGCTGCAATGCTTGGTAAGAAATGCACTCATTATCTTGCCCATGTAACTGTAACCCCTCTGTACAGTATTTTCACAATGATAAATAAATAAATAAAAAGAAGCAAGCAAACAGGAATTTCACAGAATGGGAAACAAATACGATTAGTAATATACACCTATGCTACATATGGGTATGGAATCAGGGAAATGCAAATAAGAATGACAAATAGCATATTTTAAGCATTTGGCTGACAAAACTCAATCTGACTTAACTATTACTAAAGGAATTAGGGATCAAAAGGATCCCTAGTTACTGGTGGGAGTGCAGTTTGGTACAGCTTGGGAAACAATTTGGCATTACTCTATTAAGCTGAACACTTATATCCCCTATTACCAGAAACCCTATTCCCAAGTGTAAGCCAAACTTTTGCCTGTATATATTACCAGGAGATATGAACAAGAATGTTCATAGCAGCACCAGTCACAACAGTCAGAAACACAGCATTGGAAGAATTAAATTCATTATGGAATGGTCACATAGTTGCAAAAATGAGCAAACAATACAACATGGTTAACAACATAGATGAACCTCAGTAGAATACAGCTAAGTTAACAAAACAACTCCAAAACTGGAATAGTGTACACCTCACAATTTCTTCTCTAAAAAGTTAAAAAACAAGTAATATAACCTTTAGATATATATTATTCTTGATAAAGTATTTAAAAATAGAAAGTCAAAAAGAATGGAAAGCACAAAATCTGTTCAGTGACCTCGAAGCAGAAGAAAAATACAGGGATAGCAATTACATAGGGATAAAATATTGTGCAAGTCTTGTTCCTATTTGATGATAAGTACCAGAATTTTTTATTATTAAAATTTAAAAATAAGTATATAAGTAAACAAATAAAATATAGCTATGCATGTACCAGTGAGAACTGTGTATCCTAACTCAAGGATTATGATTAATCAAAACATGTGCATCTAACAGGTCCATTAAAAACTGGGTACAGCAGGGCACTGGTGGCTCATGTCTATAATCCTAGCTACTCAAGAGACTGAGATCTGAGGATTGCACTTCGAAGCTAGCCCAGGCAGAAAAGTCTGTGAGAGACTTAAGTCCAATAAAGTACTCAGAAAAAGCCAGAGTGGCACTGTGGCTCAAGCAGAAGAGTGATCATCTTGAGCAAAAAGAAGCTCGGGGACAAAACCCAGGCCCTGAGTTCAAGTCCCAGAACCAGAAAAACAAACAAAACAAAAAAGCCCTGGGCATTGGACTGCCTTCTAGGTCACTAATCCTCAGGTGTTTAAATTATGGAGCATTTGCAGAAAATAAAAACAACCACCACAAAAAACTGGGCATTGGTGGTTCACATCTATAATCCTACCTATTCATGAGACTGATATCCATGCCAGTCTGGAATTAAAACCTTAGCACACACACAAAGTGAACCAACCAACCTACCAAAGCACAGAGAGGGCCACTAGAATAAAAAAGTAAAAAATGAAAACTACTGGTTATCTATTTCCACATATGAAGCTAGGAAGGTAAGGCCTCCTTACTTCACTGACTTGCAAAGGCCCCGATTTTCTGCATTATTCAAGGAAGCAGTCCTATGAGAGACTGACAAATTGCTTACAGAGATCAGAGAAGGAGAGATTCTGCAACTCTTTTAAGCCACTGGTAATGTACTCTGATTTCCCTCCTCATTATGAATAAATTTTTCACTTTTATGCTTAATTTGAAATCCTTTTTCTTAAATTGGGCTTTTTATAAGCTTTGGGCCACATAAAAATCTATCTTTTTGGTGTTTGCAGCCGCCGCCGTGCCAGCGCCGCCTCTCGTTCGCGGAGCTCCAGCCGAAGGAAGGGGGTGTTGAGGCCCCTCCGCCATGGCTCGCACGGAGCAGACCGCCCGCAAGTCCACGGGGGCCAGGCGCCCAGGAAGCGGCTGGCGACCGAGGCCGTGCGCAAGAGCGCGGCCTCCACCGGAGGGGTGAAGAAGCCGCCCCGCTACAGGCCTGGTACTGTGGCCTCCGTGAAATGAGACGCTACCAGAAGTGCACAGAACTCCTGATTCGCAAGCTCCCTTCCCAGCGTCTGGACATTGCTCAGGACTTCAAAACAGATCTGCGCTTCCAGAGCGCAGCTATTGGTGCTTTGCAGGAGGCAAGTGAGGCCTATCTCCTTGGCCTTTCTGAAGATACCAATCTGTGTGCTATCCATGCCAAACCTGTGACAATTATGCCAAAAGATAGCCAGCTAGCACGCAGCATACCTGGAGAACGTGCTTAAGAATCCACTAAAATGGGAGGCATTTCATTCTCAAAATCCGCCCCCCCCACTTTTCTTGCTATCAGTGGTTCTGAATGTTAGATTTTTTTCCCATGGGGTCAAAAGGTACCTAAGTATATGACTGCCAGTGGAAAAATAGGGGACAGAAATCAGGTATGGGCAGTTTTTCCATTTCCATTTGTGTGTGAATTTTTAATATAACTGTGGGTATATAAAGCATTAATGCAAGTCAAAATGTTTCAGCAGTTCAACTTTATAACAATTATAAATCTGTTAAATTTTTCTGGACAATGCCAGCATTTGGATTTTTTAAAAAAATAAGTAAATTTCTTATTGATGGCAACTAAATGGTGTTTGTAACATTTTTATCATACGGTAGATTCCATCCGTTCACTCCACTTTTCTGAGTTGTCCTACATGCAAGTTCATGCTTTTAATGTTGTCTGTCTTCTGTGTTGTTCCTGTAAGTTTGCTATTAAAATACATTAAACTAAAAGAAAAATCTATCTTTTTTTCTTGGTAATCCATTTATATGGTTTTCATTCTTTTCTTATGTCTGTCTGTCTGTCTTTATTTCCCTTTCTTTATCTCCCTATTTTCTCTCTCTCTCCCTCCTTTTTTTGTTGGTACTGGGTTTTGAACTCAGGCAGGGCTTTGAGTGTGCTAGAATAGATATTCTAGTGCTTAAACTGTGCCTCCAACCCATGCATAAACACTTTCAAAATGTATAAAAAGGCATATAGTAAATCTTCCAGTCTTCTTTCCAGAAGAATCAAGTCACGTGTAGCACTTTTATGAGGTAGTCTATATGCATGCAATCATAGGCATATATTTCCCTTCCCATTTATTATTTCTTATTTTGAAATAATTTCAAGCTTACAGACAAATCATGAGACTAGTCCAAGGATACATTTTCCTTTAAGTGACTGGAGAGTAATTTGTTAAAATGTGTATAAAAGTGATCACATAGAGCCAGGCATCGGTGGTCGCACCTCCGATCTTAGCTGTGATCTCAGGAAACAGATTTGAGGATCGTGGTTTGAAGTCAGCCCAGTTAGGAAAGTATATGAGACTTTAACTGCCAAAAAGCTAAAAGTACAACAGTGGCTCAAAGAGTGGAGCACGAGCCTTGTGAGAAAAAGCTAAGACATAGTGCCCAGGCCCTGAGTTCAAGTTCTAGTATCTGTACACACTTAAAAAAGTGGCAACAGCCGGGTGCCAGTGGCTCACACCTGTAATCCTAGCTACTCAGGAGGCTGAGATCTGAGGATTGTGGTTCAAAGCCAGTCTAGGCAGGGAAGGCTGTGAAACTATTTTCTCCAATAAACCACCAGAAAACCAGAAGTGGAGCTGTGGCTCTAGTGGTAGAGTGTTCACCTTGAGCTGAAGAGCTGAGGGACAGCGTCAGGCCCAGAATTCAAGCCCTATGACTGACCAAAAACAACAACAACAAAAAGTGGCAACATATAAAGATATTTGTTATAAAACTATAAAACAAAGAATGGGAAAACATGAATACCCAATGTCTCTAACTCCTATGTAACACTAGACTTACTGTTTTCTTTCTTCCTATACCTGTCACGGTTAACAGTATGAACATGGTTCCAGATACTGCTGCCACTTTCCTTACCTGGGACCTCTGTGTAGATACCTTCCTCAGTCCACTCAGGCTCTGATATTGTGCTGAGCTATTTTAGCTACCTTTCCCTAGAGATGTTCCCTCATCCTTAAGTCAGAACACCAGCCAATGGCTTTGGAATAAATTATTCAGGAAGAAAGTAAGGTACTAGCAAAGAGGAAGAAAAGGGGAAGAAATGTGAAGATCTCTCTTTTTATACTAGTGATAATGTACTATACTTACTGTCCTTTATTTTGTATTCATTCAATACGCAGATATTAATGAGATAGCTCATTGATCAAAGAGCTTCCTTCTCCTTATGGCCCCATGATATTCTTTTTTATAGCATAAATACAGTATAGTTTAGGGATGAACTATAGCAATTTAACCATTCTCCTACTGAGGTATATCTATTACTTGCAAGAGCAAAAAATATTACTTGCGAGAGCAAATAATGTTGGACGTGCATAATTCTGCTTACATTTTTTATCTGTGTTGTGAGTCAAGGGCACATAATTTGTAATTCTGACAGATCATTTGCAATGGCTCTTCAACAACAATGTATAAGAATGCTTTTAACTTGTTCAGTAATGTCAGGGAATTGAGAACATCTGGGCATGTGTGAGCTATAAAATCAAAGCCAATAAAGACAAGACAAAACCTGGAGCTTAAATCCACCCAAAAGAGATAGTGGCAGCTTCTTACCTGTTGCATCTGCGTATGAGATCTTCTCATCACTACTTTGAAAATTACAAGAAAGAAAAAGTTTCCTTCCTTCAATTTTATCAATTTGGCTGTTTATCACGCTAACAGAACAAAGAGGGATAGGTCTACAGAAGAAAAAAAAGAAGAAAGTGAGTTTTTACCAAACACTGAAAGATGATCAAGTACATGATACAGAATTTTCTGAAACTTGACACAGGTGAGCACGGACTTCCTTAGTTAAAATATTCCTTACAAACATTTATAAACACTCAATTCTCCAATAGCAACATTTAAAAAATCGATCTTACCAGGCACCGGTGGCTCATGCCTGTAATCCTAGCTACTCAGGAGGCTGAGATCTGAGGATCACAATTCAAAGCCAGCTCAGGTAGGAAAGTCTGTGAAACTTTCATCTCCAATAAACCACCAGAAAACTGGAAGTAGTGCTGTGGCTCAAGTGGTAGAGCGCTAGCTCTAGCTGAAGAGCTGAGGGACAGCATCCAGGCCCAGAGTTCAAGCCCTGTGACCGACCCCCCCCCCCAAAAAAAAAAAAAGAAAAAAAAAAGAAATCTATCCTGTTACCTTTCTCTCAGCTTCACTATTCTCAGCAAACATCCCGGATCTTTTTCATTCTCCCTATTTTATTCTTCTAGGACTCTGATTACGGGATATTAGAACTTTTTATTTGTCCTTTATAGTTAAAACTGTCTAAAAAATATTTTCCACTGGGTCATCGGTGGCTCTGGCCTATAATCCTAGCTATTCAGGAGTCTGAGATCTGAGAATCATGGTTTGAAGCCAGCTTGGGCAGGAAAGTATAATCATGATATGCTTATTTCCAAATAGCCACTAAAAAGCTGTATGTGGAGCTATAGCTCAAGTGGTAGAGCTCTAGCCTTGAGCAAAAAATCTAAAGGTCAGCACTAGGCCCTGAGTTTAAGTGTTAAAGCCCTAGGACCAGTACACATACACAAATTGGTTTCATATTTTATCTCCCTACCCTGCCCTTCCCTTCCTCTCCCCTCCCTCCCTCTCAAGCTTTCTTCTTCTTTCTTCTAAGCCTAGATCTGAAAATAACTTATAAGGCTTATCTAACATATTAAATTGCTAACTCTAAATATCTTAGCTGTCACCTCTAAGAAAAGTATTATCTCTTAATTTTTTCCCCCTGAACTTCAAAAAGGTTATACAATGGGGTTACAATTTAAAGTGTTCATTTATGTATCCAGTGCTTCTTGATCAGTCACATCTTCCATTATTCTCCCCTATCCCATCTGTTCCCACCCCTGGACTCATTTCACATTTCCCTTTTCCTTTGTCACATATGGACATTGGGTGTTCTAGCTATATTTGTCTCTTATTAATGGATGAGGAAAATGAGGCCCAGAGAGCCTATATAACTTGCCAAAGCTACATGTCTACTTGATACGTGAATATGTGGTTTTAACTGTCAGTCTGGATGAAAGTTCTACTTCCCATTTGAGCTTGTTATAGCTGACAAATAGCTGAAGTGGCCATGTTAGTGTGCATGTAGGATATATCACTATCCTTTCAAACGGTGGAATTGGTGAAGGATTTAGTGTTACCATTATCACCACTGTGAAGGATATGGATCTGTGAAAGCTCTTGAATAAATTTTAATGGAAGGAGCAATCATCTTGTGAAGAGAAATGATTTTAGATTTCACTGGGTTGTGAAAAATTTTAAATCATGTAAAACATCTATGAATTTTTAGTGAAAAAAATACAGGATAGGATTTAACTGTGCATTTTAGAAGAATAAGCTTCTAGAAAATGGAACCAATTGGTGCAAGATTGTTGAAGTGATTTGAGCTTCTGAAAAGTAAAAACATAGTGAAAAGCAACCTAAACTCTAAAAAAGCAAACAAAACAGAAGCCTAAGAATTATCATTTTCCCTTTTCATTTAGAGAATACTAGTGAATGTAGTTTTAAGCCGAGCATGGTGGTGCCTGTAAACTCAGAACTAGAGAGGCTGTGTGGCAGGAGGACTGTGAATTCAAGTCCAGCCTGGGCCATATAGTGAGACCCTGACTCAAAAAACAAAAACCAAATAGGAAAAAAAACCCCAACAAATCACGACCCAGAATAAAGTGTTGCTTTAAATGCCTGTAGTAGACTAATACTTAGAGAGTATTTCCTGTGTTTTCTATCTATAAAAATTCACATTTACATTTCTTGCTTTCACTTTTTGGGCAGTACTGAAACCTTTCTATACAGATTGCCCACAAGGTGGAGTAATTGTAACAGGCAAATGGAAAAGTCATTCTCACAGCTTTTGAGTTTCTAAAGATTCAGAGGAAAGGTCTTAGGCTTCATCTGCACAGCTTTATCAAGGCAGTTTCTGCAGGTCTACATTTCTGTTCATTTTTAGTTGCATTTAATAGCCCTCTAATATTTTCTCTACTGTCACCACATGGTGACGGGGCAGAGACGAGAGTGAGTAATATAGCTACTAGTTAAGGAAAACTGCAGATTAACCACCACTATCCCCAGCTAGGGAGAGGCAAAGCAGAATCCTGCCTTATAGGTCTCAGAGGAAGCTGTTCTTAAAGGACCTTATTTAAAACTTACAGTTTTTAGGGCTGCAAGAAAATCAGTCTGAAATGCTTTAAGCCACCAAGATTGAGGCAATTTGTTAAGGTAGCCCTAGGAATGAATGCACTATTGGCGTATAAAAAATTTAGAGGCAGGGCTGGGAAGGTGGCTCAGTGGTAGAGTGCTTGCCTTGCATGCATGAGGCCCTGGGTTCGATTCCTCAGCACCACATAAGCAAATAGAAAAAAGCCGGAAGTGGCGCTGTGGCTCAAGTGGTAGAGCGCTAGCCTTGAGCTGAAGAGCTGAGGGACAGCGCCCAGGCCCAGAGTTCAGGCCCCACGACCAGACCCCCCCCCCCCCAAAAAAAAAAAACAACATGAAAAAACAGTCTTTTTACCTATTCCTGACTTTTTTTTTTTTTTTTTTTGGTTTTAAACAGCTACATTTTCATGTCTACAAATTCTATTGGCTTCTATAACAAATCTGCCCAATAATCTTTATAGTTTCCTTTTGCTTTTCCTTTTTTGTGACTTTTAATTCTTTACACATCTCACATTTTGTTCTTCTATATTATGTATTTGATTATCATGTCATGAATATCTTAAATCTCTTAAGAGTCTAAATTTGTTATTTACTGTTCCTGCTGACAGTTACTTTTGATAGTTTGCTTACATATCTGGGGCAGGAAATGCTACTTATTTTGAAGGAAGAGGAATACCTTTTAGAATTTGTCATGTTGCATCAAGAAGTCCAATTGTGGCATGGCACTGGTGGCTCACACCTGTAATCCTAGCTACTTAGGAGGCTGAGATCTGAAGTTCAAAGCCAGCCTGGGCAGGAAAGCCCATGAGACTCATCTCCAACAAACCATCAGAAAACTGGAAATGGCGCTGTGGCTCAAGTGGTAGAACACTTGCCTTGAGCTGAATTTCTCAGGGACAGTAACTAGGCCCAGAGTTCATGTACCATGATTGACCAAAAAAAAAAAAAAAAAGTCCAGTCAAGTTTGTGAAGTGATTTGTCATGAATGGGTTATGGGCACGCTTAGACACAACCTCTCAGCAGGTTAATCACCTCTAGTTATGAGCTTTGTCTCTCTTTATATACTAGGGATAAGAAAATAAGTCAAGTGATTGAAGGGCTGGAAATGATTTGAGATGGTTAAGGAATGGTTTTGCTTCTTAAAAGCAAGAAGGTACCTAATGCTCAATTAACACTGGAAATTATCTTCAATTAACAATAAAAATGTTAATCTTAGGTTGTTATCTTTAGTATTCAAAGGCCTATAAACTGCTCAATTAAGTTTATTATTCATATTGTTTTGAACTGAAATGACTTTATACAAAAAGATAAGGCCTGATAAATACTATTATTCAATGTTTTATTCTATTTTTTATTTTATTTTTCAGTATTAAGGTTATGATCTCACACTTGCTAGACTGGTGCTCTACCACTTGACCTATGCCCACAACCCTGTTTTTTGTTGGTTATTTTGGAGGTGGAGCCTTGAAGACTTTTCTGCCTCAAACCATAACTCTTCTGGTTTCAGCCTTCTGAGTAGCTGTAGTTATAGGCTTGAGTCACTGGTACCCAGCCTGGGGGTGGAGAAAAGGCTCTTTATATAATCCAGGCTGGCCTTGAACTCTTGATCCTCCTGCCTCAGCCTTATGAGTGCTGAGAGTGTAGATATGTACTACTGTGTATGGTTTATAGATATCTTTCAAGCTAATTTGCAATCCCAACACTTTATTTCAGCTGGCAAAAATGTAGAGCTGCTATGGAAAACAATAGAGGGTTTCTCAACAAATTAAAATAGAACTACCATATCATCAGCAATACCACTTTTGGATATTTATACAAAATAATTGAAATCAGAATCTTTTTGTTTTCTGTCAGTCGTGAGGCTTGAACTCTGGGCCTGGATGCTGTCCCTGCACTCTTTAGCTCAAGGCTAGTGCTCTACCATTAGTCACAGCGCCACTTCTGGTTTTCTGGTGGCTAATTGGAGATAAGAGTCTCATGGACTTTCCTGCCTGGCCTGGCTTTGAACTGTGATCCTCAGATCTCAGCCTCCTGGGTAGCTAGGATTACAGGCGTGAGCTACCGGCACCTGGCTTGAAATCAGAATCTTGACAGGATAATAGCATACTAATATTGACTAATGCATTATTTTCAATAGCCAAGATGTAGAAACACTACAAAATTCCCAGTAACAGATAAATGGCTGTCTCCCACTCAGAAAGTGTGGAAGGGTATTTCTACACTCCCTGACTTGTGATTGTTCCTTGTTTCTAGGTCTTCAGAGTAGTTCAGTCCCAATTAATTGACCTCCTTTCAAGGTGACTCCTATCATTGAGGATTAGAAATTTCCTCAGTGTGATTCTGAATGAGAAAGTGCAGGTAAAAGAGTGGCAATATTCTGAAGGGAGCAAGAGCATCAAGAATCAAAAAAGAGGTGACAGGACAGCTAAAAACACATGGAGAAACAAGATAATACAGAGAAAGCTAGGATACAGTCCATAGCTCTAACCTGGCTTGTGAGGGGTGGATCGGTGGGAAGCTGAAGCCACAACCTCAAGGTAAGCCAGACAGCTCTAGTGGTAACACACTGGCAGTCCTAGCTGCAAGAGAAACCCAAAGTTCTGTAGTAGAGTCCTAGGTCCAGTGCAGAGATATTGTGTGACAATGAGTGAGGGGCAGGCTAGAATTGGAGAAGGGGTCAACTATTTGGGACTGAGCTACACTGTAGACCTGAAAACAAGGAATAATCACAAGTCAGGGGTCTGGGGCTTATCCCCTTCTACAGTGTCTGGGTAGGAGAAGAATCTTTAAATATAGAAATTTACCTTTTATAATTGATGTTAAGATTGGCAGTCATGACAATTCCCCCAGCTCTAGCTGCACATTTACCAAGAGCAACATCAATGATGGATGCGGCGGCACCTCCGTGAAGGAATCTAGTTACACAGCAGAGGAAGGAAAATGTTTTCAGAAGTTCAGGAAGCAGAAAGCTTCTTAAGAGGGAGAAATCACACCAGCATCTTCTTATCACTACTTAGGAGTAGCCTGCTTAATATCCCAAGTTTGGTGTATTGAATGTCAAGTAATGCTCATGCCCCCAACTTTGTTCATGGCATAATGGGGCAGGCTTACGTATTTGTGGTAAATTTGGAACTTAATAGTAATAATGAATTTACAATAAATAAAAAGATCCAGTATAATTTAGAACATTCACATATGATTTTTATTAAATAAGCGATACTCATTTATTGTTTTTTGTAAAAGCTTCAGAAATGCAGATAAATTCTATGCCTCCACCAGAAAGAATGACATTGCCCCATTTGTTAGGAAATGGAAAGGCTTGGAAAAAATTATATTAAGTGAAGTAAGCCAGGCCCAAAGAAACATAGGTCCCATGGTTTCCCTTATTTGCAATATCTAGTGTATGTCTGAGTCGAGCAGAAAAGGTCAGATAAGGTGGTGTTAGGGAAATGAACCCTAAGATATGTATTCAAATGTTTTTTTTTTCTTTCATGCGATTGTTTCTAACACATTTATAAGAATATTTCTTTGTTGCTTTGTATGTCCCTCCCCCACAGTATAACCCCTGCTTTCACTGTATTTGATGTCGGTATAATTTGTGGAGGGGAAGGGGAAAAACAAATCGTTTAAATAGGGATACAGGTGGACCCATTGCAACAATGAGATGTACAAGTCATTATGTCAAAAACGAACTTTACAACTTTGGTGGGGGGTCGGGGAGGATTGGGGGGGGTGGGGGGAGGATGGGAAGGGATGGGAAGGGAAAAAAGATAAAATATTAAAAATAAAAAAGAAATGCAGATAAATAGAAGAAAAGCAATTTAAGGCTTATAACAGGTCAGTGTCAAGCTACTGTTTTCATGCTCATGGTATTCCCTCTAATTATACTCCATTACTGTGTTCTACAATAATATATTACATATGTCCTTTAATAGCATATTGAAATTTAATAAGAATTCACAATATAATAATGTTTAGCACTGTATTATAAACATCTTTCCAAGTCAATAAGTTTATCTACATTACCATTTTAATGCCTTCTTTGTAGTCTCTGCAGTCATAAAGATGTTAGGAGATAAAGTCTTTCATATACACACTGCTAGGTTATCACTCTTACCCAGGTACTCCTTGCAGGAAAGGACCTCCTTGAAAAAGGCAAACAACCTTTTTTTCAACATCATTACAGAAGACCACATATTCAAAGCCCATGCCATCCTCAAAGCTCCTGGTGAAGAGTTGGCTCTTTAACATATATTCTTCTTTGCTATAACTTGGGTCTGTATGGAAATGAAGTGAGTGGGTACAGGTGGTGAAAAAAATGTATGAGAGAAATGCCATATAAGCATCTATGTTCTGCTAAAATCACATGGTGATGGATGATTGATTAAAATGTTACTTAAGTATAAAACTAAAAGCAATAAAAGGTTTCTAAGAAGTAGAATATAAGATCTAGGCCCTTGTGGAATTACTAGTCTAGGAACAGAGTAAACATAACATAGAAACTTATCAACACATGACAATCAAGAAATATATACATGCTAATAAACTGAACAAAATGGTAAGGTACAGACAGAATTTCTTCTTGGAGCAAGTGAGGCTTAAATGGATTTAAGTAAGGATTTTTCCTGACATGTATGAGTTTTACCTGCTATCTCTCACACTTGTTAATCAGACTTTTAAAAGCAACAAAATAGCTGGGTGCCAGTGGCTCATACTTGTAATCCTAGCTACTCAGGACGTTGAGATCTGAGGATCACGGTTCAAAGCCAGCCCAGGCAGGAAAATCTGTGAGGCTCTTATCTCCAATTAACCACGAGAAAACTGGAAGTGGTGCTGTGGCTCAAGTGGTAGAGTGCTCGCCTTGAGCTGAAGAGTTGAGGAATAGCGCCCAGGCCCAGAGTTCAAGCCCCATGACTGACAAAAAAAAAAAAAAAAAAGCAACAGAATATTTCAGATATATTTTAAGTATTAGAGTACTTGCTTATGGTTTCTTCACCTAAAAAACTGAGTGCAAATTGGATGTCACAGGCTGAGTAAAAATGTAGATCATTTCAAAATAAAGGCAGAAAGCCACTGCTGATAAAGGATGTATTTGTCTTTTGACATCTAATTTGAAATGTGTTGTTTATATCATGGCTTTTCCCCCGCCTAGTCCTGGGGTTTGAACTTGGGGCCTAGGCACTGTCCCTGAGCTTCTTTTGTCAAGGCTAGAGTTTCACCTGTTGAGCCACATGCGTTAGCCACCGGCACCCGGCTCACTTAAAGTTTTTTAACATTTACAATTTTAATTAAAAACAATTATAATTTGTGCTGCAGGCAGTTGGACTCAGATTCACATGTAAGGCAAGTGCTCCATCATTGAGCAGGACCCTCAGCTTTTAAAACTTAATTTTTTTGAGACAGGATCTTGTACATATCTCAGGCTGGTCTTGAACTCACAATCTTCCTGCCTCAGCATCCTGAGTTCAGGGATGATAGGCATATGCCACAATATCCAGTGTTAAAAATTTTCGCTGGGTGCTGGTGGGTCACACCTGTAATCCTAGCTACTTAGGAAGCTGAGTTCTGAGGACTGCCATTCAAAGCCAGCTTGGGCAGGAAAGCTCATGAGATTTTTATCCATAATTAACCACCAGAAAACTGGAAGTAGTGCTGTGGCTCAAGTGGTAGATCACTCGCCTTGAGCTGAATTGCTCAGGTAGGCTGGCTTAGTGGTAGAGTGCTTGTGTAGCACGCATGAAGCCCTGGGTTTGTTCCCTTAGTACCACATACACAGAAAATGCTGAAGTGGCGCTGTGGCTCAAGTGGTAGAGGGCTAGTCTTGAGCAAAAGAAGCTCAGGGATAGTGTCCAGACCCTGAGTTTGAGCCCCAGGACTGGCAATAAATGATTGGCCTATAAAACCAGAGACTATAGAAACCTCTATACTGTTCTCTTTCTCTTCAGATGGAGATTGTTTTTATCCCCAGGATGGCCTTGAACTTGTGATCCTCCTGTGAAATAGCTTGGATTACAAGTAGAAACTACTATGTCCTCCTGTTCCTTCTCTTTTTAGGTAATAACCAGTTCTTCAATATGTTCTTAGTTTTATACTCGATATTCAAATATTATTATTAATGGGCAAATGACTGTTCCTACCTATAAATTGGGTTTGGAAGTCTTTAAGGTGTTCAGGAGGAATTTTTCTATATGAAGACAAACGTTTCCAGGAGCCATCTTCACATTTCTTCATAAACTGGTCAAAAAGGAATCGTAGGTCCTTGCTCCAGCTGGGGTTGGGAACAGCATAGTCCTTATGAGTAACTTTCTCAGAAGAAAATGACCTCTTTAAAAAAAAAAGAAAAAGAAGAATAATATCATATTTCATGACATTTCCTCCCACTTTCTAAGATTATTTTTGTTGATTGTTTTTTTCTTCACAGAAAACTATTTTAGAATGGAAAGGACCTTTCTACCTTTGCAGCCACCATGGCAACTGTGCAAAAGCTTGTGGTGAAGGTGTGTGTGGCGGGGTGGGGGTGGAGGCCGCAGGCGGGCGGGGAAGAAGCAGGTTCTGAAGTTCACTATGGACTGCACCCACCCTGTAGAAGATGGAATCCTGGATGCTGCCAATTTCTCCAAGAAAGAATTAAAGTGAACAGGAAAGCTGGACATCTTAGTGGAAGAGTTATCACCATTGAGAGAAACAAGAGCAAGATCACTGTAAACTCTGAAATGCCTTTCTCCAAAGGTATTTGAAATATCTCACCCAAAAATATTTGAAGAATATCTGATTGGTTACATAGAGTTATGGTTTACATTCCTTCCAGATTAACCAGGACAAAGGAGGAAGATAAGGATTAAAATTCAACTATCTGAACTATATTGTATGTGTTCTTGAATAAAACTTGGGAACACTTCCAAAAATAGAATAAAATAAAATGGAAGATAATTTTAGAGATGACTTGGTCCCACCCTCTGGAAAGTAGTATATTTATGTATATATATTTATATGTAAATATCTATCTGTCTAGTTGCTGGGATGTAGCTCAGTGGTGAAGTAAAAGCTCTGTTCTCAATCTCCCACACCATAATATGTGTATATGTTTAAATTATTGTAAACTATAGTCAATCTTCTGTGCTGTAGGATATTAGTCCCTATACCTCTTATCTAACTGTATTTTGGTTGTTTATCCAGTCTTTCTTGATTCCTACTTTTTGTCCATTTCTTTTAGTAAGTACTTTCTCTCTGCTTCTATGATACTAACATTTTTTAGCTTCTACATTAGTAAGAACATGGTATTATTTTGCTGTGTCTCCTCTAAGGTTTTTTTTTTTTTTTTGTCAGTCATGGGGCTTGAACTCTAGGCCTAAGTACTGAACCTGAGCTCTTCAGCTCAAGGCTAGCTTGCTACCACTTGAGCCACAGTGCCACTTCTGGCCTTTGTTTCTGTTTATGTAGTGTTGAGGAATGGAACCCAGGGCCTCATGCTCTACTGCTGAGCCACCTTCCCAGCTCCTCTAATTTTTTTTATTGTAATTTTTCTTAATGTACTTGGAATCTCAATAAGAAATATATTTTGTTTTCTGCTTTCATCACTTTATCATTCAGGTTCTTAATCTTAAGTTATCATCACTGTGTGTGTGTGTGCGCGCGCGCATGCATGTACGTGCTTCAGAACTGGGGCTTAAACTCAGGGACTGGGCATTATCCCTGGGCTTTTTGGCTCAAGGCTAGCACTCTCTCACTTGGGCCACAACTCCACTTTTGACTTTTTTGGTGTTTAATTGGAGATAAGAGTCTCAGACTTTCCTGCTCAGGCTGGCTTTGATTTGAGATCCTCAGATCTCAGCCTCCTGAATAGCTAGGATCTGGAATCTGGCATCTGGCTCTTCACCCTTTTTTTTAACAGCCTTTGAACCCACATACTATAATCTACTTAAGCATTTAAGTCAGACATTGAAATTATTTTCAGCTGAGCACTGGTGGCTAATGTCTGTAATCCCAGAAATTTAGGAGGCTGAGATCTGATGATTGTGATTCAAAGCCAGCCTGGGCAGGAAAGTCTGTAAGACTCTTATCTCTAATTAATGGCCAGAAAATTGAATGTGGAGCTGTCACTTAAAGTAGTAGAGTTCTAACCTTGAGCAGAAATGCTCAGAGACAGTGCCCAGGACCTAAGTTCAAGCCCCATGACCAGAAAAAAAATGGTTCCCAATCTTGTGCTGCTGTGAATGAAAATGTTCATTGGAATATTATGAAAATAGTCTTTTTTCTCTTTTGGAGCTAATATGCAACATATATATGTAAATACATATATTTCTTTTGTCAGTCGTGGGACTTGAACTCTGGGTCTGAGTGCCGTCCCTCAGCTCTTCAGTTCAAGGCTAATGCTCTACCACTTGAGCCACAATGCCACTCAGATTTTCTGAGTGGTTTACTGGAGATAAAAGTCTCATGGACTTTCCTGCCGGGGCTGGCTTTGAACTGGGATCCTCAGATCTCAGCCTCCTGGGTACCTAGGATTACAGGCACGAGCCACTGGCACCCAGCTATGCAGCTTTTAGAGAACATGAATTCTAGAAGTAACTCCAGACATAACTCATTGTAGATTAGTTTGTACTGACCAATACAAGTCAAATGAGTATAACGTGTATAGGTTTAGAATCATGAATTTGGGCTCATTTCATCCAGATTTTCTCCTAAATAGAAAATCTCAGGATCAATTGGTACCAGCAAGCACCCTTTTATAGGCCAGTGAATAGAGCTAATTAATGGCATTTAGGGATTAGAATGACTCTCTGGGATCTCCTTTTTGGTTTTAATTTTTATAATCAGGATTTAGTAAAATTCAACAAAGTTTTGGAAGTCTATTATATGGACTGATTCTTTTTTTTTTTTTTTTTTTTTAGTCGTGGGCTTGAACTCTGGGCTTGGGCCCTGTCTCTCAGCTCTTCAGCTCAAGGCACGCACTCTGCCACTTGAGCCACAGCACCACTTCTGGTTTTCTGGTGGCTAATTGGAGATAAGAGTCTCATAGACTTTCCTGCCTGGACTGGCTTTGAACTGCGATCCTGAGATCTCAGCCTCCTGAGTAGCTAGGATTACAGGTGTGAGCCACTGGTGCGTGGCTGGCCTGATTGTTTACCAGGGGCAAGTAAGACAAAGAGAAAACATCTGGGCCCTGTCTTCAAGTATCAGCAGTCTTAGATATGAAAAATACTATAAGAGAAGTCAGTATAGAGAGTGCTTTCGGAGAACACTTCAAAATGATGGTGTGATTTCTTGAGAGAATGAGAGGGCTGTTCTCAGCAAAGGTACAAAGGATGAAACAACTGTCTGACACACTTGGGAACTCTTAGTGTTTTAGACCTAATAGATGGAAGATGCAAAGGGGAGTGCAAATTGTAGTTGGCAAAAGAGAAGAGGGATCATGCCACAGAAGCCCTAGTACAGGACTTAGATTTCATCTTCCAAAGACAAAATGAAAGGTAATTTTAGGTGCAACAAGGACAAATATACTTGTTTTTTTAAATGTATTATAAAATATTTACACATTGTATACTATATGCACATATATAACATTATAAAAGGAGATAAACAGCATTTGCACTTGCGATTTCAAGGAATTTAAATAATTACAAAGTTAACTAGTGTTGCAGCTCAGGCAGGTAATCTTTAGCTACTTTGGAAGGCAGAAATGGGGAAGATCAAGGTCTGAGGCCAGTTCAGTCTTCCCCCTACCCCCTCCCCCCCCCCAAAAAAAAGAAAAACAAGTAGACTCCATCTTGGTCAATGGTTGGGTACAATGGCATGCACCTGTTATCCTGGTAATGACAGGAAGTACAAATTGAAGCCCAAGCTAGTCCTTTCTGAAAAATAACCAATCCAAAAAAAAAAAGGCAGGGTTGGGGGCTGGTAGAATTGCTCAAATGGCATGAGGTCTTAGTAACACCCAGAACCACCACCACTACCACTACCACAAAATTGTAAAGGCGAGAATGAATGATAAAACACCTTTTTTCATTAAGAAGTTTTAAGCAAGAAAATAATCAGAACATACATTTCAGAGCTGGAGATGTATCTCCTCAGTAAAGGGCCTGCCTAGCAATCAAGAGGCCCTAAGTTCAAATCTCAGTACTGCCTCTCCCCTCAAATAATAATAAAAAGAAATGTTTAAGAGATATTTAGGACATTAGAACCAACGGATAAGGGTACTTACTAAGTGGGAAGAGAAAGCTGAACAGTCAGGTGATATCAGAGTTGTGGCTTAGAAGACAGATGGTTATAAGAAAAAGGGTTTTGCTGGTGCAAGTGTGAGTAAGAATGGAACTACTAATTTTTATTTGAGGCATATTACATTTGTTACACCAGGTGGAGATTATAATGTGGAAAAAAACAATGGAAGTTTTAGTACAAAGATATGAGAACTAAAAGATACTTGCAGTGAGTGCAATTGTAAACTTACAGTTACAGACTATAGATGCTTGAGGGATAGATGTTAGGGATAATCATTACCTTTTATTTTTCTAAAGAGGAACGTTCATGCTTGATCTTTGTAATATAAAGGTTATATAAAGGTTATAAAGGTGGAACTTGTAAGAAAAGTTACAACTTTTAAAGAGTAGTTACTAAACAGAAAGAAGTATAATTATATGGCCCGGGAAAACTCTCTGTAAGCTTAAGTTACTGAACAAAAACAAGTGTAACTTAAATAGCCTGTAAATACTGATACTTAAATATTCTCAGCACAGATTACAGGGCATCAACATATAATTAAAGAAATTAATTCATCTTTGTTGTTGTAAGACTAACACATTTTATTTTTCCAATGAGCAAGAGGGTGGATTGTTAATAACCAATCTGCACTGATTCTGATTTAGCAGAAAGCTACAAAAGATTAATAGAGATGCCATACTTGCCCAAACTACTGAAGTCCTTATGTTTTGTTCAACCTGTCCCCTTCATCTGTGTTTCCTTGGTAACGTAACAGTACATACAGTACCCAGATATTGTAATTTTGCAGTTTGAATTTTAGCCCTATTCCCCCAAACTAGTCTGTAGGCTCCGTGAAAGTATTTTTTTTTTTTCTCCCCTTACTTTTTTTTTTTTTTGGGTCCAGTCGTGAGGCCTGAACTCTGGGCCTGGGCGCTGACCCTCAGCTCTTCAGCTCAAGGCTAGCGCTCTACTGCTTGAGCCACAGCGCCACTTCCGGCTTTTTCTGTTTATGTGGTGCTGAGGAATGGAACCCAGGGCCTCATGCATGCAAGGCAAGCACTCTACCACTGAGCCACCTTCCCAGCCCTTTCTCCTCTTACTTATCCCACATCACCAGTACTCAATAAGGCCTGGACTAATGCTGGAGCTAACTAAACCAGTACTAATGGACTACAATAAGGAAACAAACTAGGGATGTAAGAGCAGGCCAACATTTATTTCACACTTATGTTAAACCAGGCATTACCTTAAGTGCGGGCATTACCTCACGGAATCTTACAGCAATCTTTAACGGCAAGGAAAGTGGCTTAGAGAGGGTATGGTTGATTACCTGATATACTCACAACCCTTCTATCTTTGATCAAGTTAGTTGTGTTCTCAGAAATAGGACAAGTCGGGGCCTATCAGGATTATAGCATCGGAAGGCGCTCTTCTCCTGGGATCTGCAATGGTTGAGCCCCAAGGTTTGCTCTTGCACGTGTTTTCTGGGTGACCTAGCTTAACTTTTTTTGGTCGGTCGTGGGGCTTGAACTCTGGGCCTGGGCACTGTCCCTCAGCTCTTCAGATCCAGGCGAGCGCTCTACCGCTTGAGCCACAGCGCCACTTCTGGTTTTCTGGTGGTTTATTGGAGATAAGAGTCTTACGATCTTTCCTGCCAGGGCTGGCTTTGAACCGCGATCCTCAGATCTCAGCCTCCTGAGTAGCTGGGATGACAGGCGTGAGCCACCCAGCTCACCTTTCCTTCTTAATACTAGCAGCGGTGGTGGGTCTCCTCCAGCTGACCCAACCCAAGCATCCAGCACGCCGCGCCCGCGCACCTTCAGGGCTGCAAAGAATTCCTAAGTCCGCCGGCTCCGGCGGTCGGTCCGGGATCCCCTGGCTAGGTAGTCGATGAAGAACTAAAGGGAATTATCCAGGTTGCTACCCACCGCGTGTCTCGCCTCCGCCCTGGCCCACAGCGCGCCGGAGACTCACCCACACCTCTACGCTCCCGCTCCGGAGAGTGCGCAGGTGCGTGGCGCAGCTTCTCAGCATGGCTCGTGGCGCCGACTGGCTGCAGACTTCACCTTCCCAAGAGAGAAAGCGGACTTGCTCCCAAGTGCGCCGGCTCCCCGCTAGGCTTCGTCCGGCGAGCGGCTGGCGGAGGGGCGGGGCTTGTCCGAGGGCGGGGCCTGGCGGGAGGTGGGCGGGGCCTCCTGGCGGGAAGCGCCGGGGATGGGGGGGGAGAGGTGAGGGGGCGTGGCAGCGAGCCTCCGCCGGCCCACTGACTAGGTGCCTCTGCGTTTTCGTTCCGGAAGACTTCCGGATTTCTGGAAGGGTTGCGGCGCCCTGCCGCTCGAGTTCGGGGAGCGAAGGCCGGACCCGCCCGCAGTTGTGGACTTAGCCCGCTCAGCTCGAGTGCGGGAGTGGCGAGTCGCTGTTCGTGGGGCTAGCCGTTATTCCTCCTGCCTGTGGGGACAGATTCCGCGTTCCGGTTCCTTAAGTAGTTATTTCTTCATCCGGTGCACACTCTTTAAGTCCCCGGGAGGACCGGAGCGCAGGTTAGCAGCGGTGTGAAGAACACGTCTTCCTCGTGAGGCCGTGGGCTCGCGATCCCGGGGACCGAGTTGGTGGTATTGATGTAGGTATGCTCTGCAGGGCGTTTGTGCCACTCAGCCCCCGAGCCCGCTCGGTTTACAGTGAGGACCCGGTACACTTGGGGCCCCGCCCAAACTCAGGAGCACGTGGCTGGTGTGTTAAAGGGTCATCACTAGCTTTGCTCAGGTTGTTCCGGGGTGCAGGGGCAGTGAGGCCACTCAGTCCACAGTGAAAAATGTAGATTGTATTGAGCGGAAAGTACTGATGCGCCCGGACCGCTCCAGGAGCCGGGAATGGGGGGCGGGGGCTGGGTGTTGGTTTTAGCCAAGAAATTCACACCTTAAGTTTAAATTTCCCGCCAAGGTTTTGCTGGCTGGGGAATAGAACAAGGGGTGGAGATGCCTCAGTTTGGTTCCTGGGCGCATTTTATCAGAAAACAGCAGAAGCAGAGTTACGGAAGCTAAAATAGCTAGTTAGTTACCAGGGAAGGCTTATCCACAGAAAGCACAGTTACAGTTGTATCTTAAAATCATTCATTATCCATTTCATACAATCCAAGTCAAAGACCAAGTCAAAGATTATAGTCCATCCTGACTTCTCCAAATCAAAACCTGAGCTCAAATTGCCTCCCCCCCTCCCCCACACACTTAAGAACACGATGTACAAACTTCTAGTGCTCCTGGCCTCTGTTACCCCTTGGGAAGACTGAAAAGAATGTTTAACAAATTTAACCATTGCAAAAGCCTCTTTCAGGTAATGTGCTCCCAGGCTAGTGGTTCAGTGGAGTTGGCTTGAATAGCCCCGTGGGAACCTGTTGAAATCTCAAAAATTTGTCTAGCCAGTTCTCAAGCATGGTCATTAAACTTTAAGTGATAACTGGGTGCAGTGGTATACTCCAGGAGTTCTCCACCTGCCTGGGCCACAAAGTAAGTACCTGTTAGGTAGATTTCATCCCTGCGAGCCTGAGCAGCCTGATAGACCCATTCATGCTCTTCGGTAGTAATAAAAGTGGACGAGTCATTGGAAAAGGAACCCAGGCAGGCTTCAATCTGAGATAGGTCTGCCAAAGAAAAGGGCACATGGACCCGGACCAGACCCTCGGCCCCAGCCACCTCTTGGAGGGGGAGTAAGTTGTCCGATGGTTTAGTCGGGGCCAGAGTATGGCCAGCCACAGGGAAAGGGAGGTCTAGAGTAGAGGCCTGAGCAGAGGCCAGCCCAGAGATCTGTGAGTCAGGGTTAAGTCCAGGGGCTGGGGCTGGAGTTAAGGAGCTGGAGGCAGCCCTTAGGGTGGAGCTATGTGGCGCATAGGGTAGTGGTCTGCTGCAGGTGGGGCCGAGTCAGGGAGGTCATCAAGGGCATCAGAAGAAGAAGGGGGAGGGAGAAGGGTTTTGGAGGGTTGTTGTCAAGTAAAATTTCAGAGGGGGAGCAGGAGAGGCATAGGGAGGAACGGGAGTGTAAGTAGAAGAATCCTTGGACATACAGAATTTCAGCCCAGGGCTGGGAAGGTGGCTCAGTGGTAGAGTGCCTGCCTTGTATGCATGAGGCCCTGAGTTCGATTCCTTAGCACCACAAAAGCAGAAAAAAGCTCAAGTGGTAGAGCACTAGCTGAAGAGCTGAGGGACAGCGCCCAGGACCAGAGTTCAGGCCCCACGACCGGACACCCCCCCCAAAAACCCCCAAAATTTCAGCCCACTTTCCCATTCGCTCACAGAAACTGCAGAGGTCAGTCAATATGTTAAAACTGAAAGTCCTGGTACATAGGCCATTCCCAGTTACAGAGGAAGATCAGTCTTCTTGGTCTAAGGTCAGGCCTAAGGCCTAGAGATTTGAGGTTAGCCAATAAGCAACCCAAAGGAGTGTGTGGGTCAGGTTTGGAATTTTGGTTTCCCATGGTGCCCAGGCAGCCTGGGGTAAAACTAAGGCTGAAGAAGGCGGGTCTGTCTCAGCCCAAGAGTTGCCAAGGAAGCAGAGGCAACCGAGAAGACCACATCCCTGGTTATTCTCAGTGCCGGCGGGCTGGCAAGGGGGTGGGAGCAGCGGGCAGAGGGAGACTTGGGCAGGAGCTTGCGACTTTTACAGACAGATATGAGTTTCCTGAGAGCAGGCCAGGACCATGGGAGAGTAGGTGGGGACTCACCCAATCGGAAAGTGGGGGGTGCTCAGAAGGCCAGGCTGAGGTCCTGGTCTGGCAAGGTGGGAGGGAGAGAGAGAGAGAGAGACAGACAGACAGACAGAAATACAGAGACAGACACAGAGACAGAGACAGAGAGAGAGCACGTGAGCAGAGGTAGAGGCCTCAGCTGTGTTTACAAGGATGACGAATAACATCCCACGCCACCTCCGTCCATGGGATATGTATTGCATATGGGGGCAGAGGCCATGGGGTCTGTCAAGTGGCTGTTTAGCCCAAAGTAAATTCGGTGGGCTTCGTGCTCCCAATAGGCCTCAGGAAAAGGAGGAGAGGAAAAGAGAGACCAAGAAGGGGCAGTGCCCTCGGTCTCTCAAGGGGGAAGCGAAGCACTATGGCCTTCCTGGGTTTTGGCACCAGTATAAGGTTTTAGGCGAGAAAAGGACCACATAGAGAGCAATAAAAAGATTGACAGGAAAGTTTATTGGGGTATGCCTCCTGTCCAACTCCCCAGTTGGGATCAGAGAGGTCATGCTGAGTTTGGTTGTAGCAGAGTTTTTTTTTTTTTTTTTTTTTTTTTGGGTCCAGTCGTGGAGCCTGGACTCTGGGCCTGGGCGCTGTCCCTCAGCTCTTCAGCTCAAGGCTAGTGCTCTACCACTTGAGCCACAGCGCCACTTCTGGCTTTTTTCTTTTTGCTTATGTGGTGCTGAGGAATTGAACCCAGGGCCTCAGGCATGCAAGGCAAGCGTTCTACCACTGAGCCACCTTCCCAGCCCTGTAGCAGAGTTTTTATAGGCAGGGTAAAAGCAGAATTTGCAGTAAGCAGGGGCTTGTAGCACGAAGCTTGTGTTGCCTGTTTGAACATCTTTCTCAGCAGCAGCTTGTTTTTTTCCCCAGTGGCCTGATAATCCCCCCCCCCCCTTACTTCCTCCAGCAACCGCCTAAAATTATTCTATTGTCAAATTTCTAATCCTAAGTAACTACTTACAGACATGCTGGTAGCTCTTGCTGGGAGGAAATTCTTCACCCAGTGTTCTGATTCTGCATTCATTAACTTCCTAAATGGCTCCAGTCACCAGCCTCTCAATATACCCTATTTAGTCCTGGAACAGCTCAGGCATCAAGAAGACGCCATACCACGTGTCTCCACGTTCGCGTCCTGTGGCTTGTCTTCTGTCTCGTTCTTCTCTGGTCACCATGGTGTCCCACTTCAGCTCTCCATTTGAGCTGAATTGGTTGGTTGCTATTGTTTTTGTTCTTTCTATCCTCTCTGGCCTATTTCCTAATTGTATTAAGTGTATCAACAGCTTCCAAGATTTGATCCTTCAAAATGTACCTTCTCCTTTTCCCCACCTTATTGAACTTGGATCCATCCAGCACCACTCATGTCATAGAAATGCCAGGTGCTAGGATATCAAGGGAAGAAACAACATCATCAGCCATCCCATCCACCCCACACAAATAACATCTAAGCCATTTCCTCTTGGGGTGGGTTTAGGAACAGCAGCCCTGCCAGACTGGCCCCTGTCTCATCAGATATTGACAACTTAAAAAAATACCAATATGGTGCTGGCTTCGGCAGCACATATACTAAAATTGGAACGGTACAGAGAAGATTAACATGGCCCCTGCACAAGGATGATACACAAATGCGTGAAGCGTTCCATATTTTTATGAACAAGACTTTATGTCGAAAAACGAACTTTAATTTGCAATATCTAGTATATGTATGAGTCAAGCAGAAAAGGTCAGATAAGGTGATGTTAGGAAAATGAACCCTAAGATATGTATTTAAATGTTTTTTTTCTTTCATGCATTTGTTTTTAACGCATTTATAAGATTATTTCTTTGTTGCTTTGTATGTCCCTCCCCCACAGTGTAACCCCTGCTTTCACTGTATTTGATGTCGGTATAATTTGTGGAGGGGAAGGGGAAAAACAAGTCGTTTAAATAAGGATACAGGTAGACCCATTGCAACAATGAGAAGTACAAGTTATCATGTCGAAAACGGAACTTTGCAACTCTGGTGAGGGGGAAAGGATTGGGTAGGGGGGCGGGGAGAGGCTGGGAAGGGATGGGAAGGATAAACAATGGAGGAGGCTATAATGCTTGATAAGAAATGTACTCACTATCTTGCCTATGTAATTGTAACCCCTCTGTACAGTATTTTCACAATAAAAAATTAAAAAAAAAAAAAAAAAGACAAATGAACTTTACTACTTTGGCCGGTGGGGGGAAGTGGGGGAAGAGGGGAGCAGTTGCGGGGGGGGGGGGGGGCGGGGAGGATGGAAAGGGATGGGAAGGGGAAACAAAGGAGGAGACAACAATGCTTGATAAGTAATGTACTCATTACCTTGCCCATGTAATTGTAACCCCTCTGTATGGTATTTTCACACACACACACACACACACACACACA